GCTGACTTGAGGACGCCTGGGGTTCTTAAGTTGAATCTGTATGTAAGTCGGAACTGGTGTCCAGATTCAGCTGCTCTTGAAACTGATCAGTTTCAGCAGCGGCTGAATCTGGATGCCAGTTCCGACTTACATACAGATTCAACTTAAGAACAAACCTACAGTCCCTATCTTGTATGTAACCTGGGGACTGCCTGTACTTATTAAGCAGATTTAAGTTCTGCAAGGACATCCATAAATGTTTGCTAATAAACTATTCAGTTTTTATTAATATTTTTCTAAAATATACATAATTTTAATATATTATTATTAGATTTTTACATCTCTTATTTTATAATTGCTTCATGATGTTTCAATACTGTGTGAATGAGGGAGACAGATTAATGTGATTCGAAAGCAATATATATAGTTTCCTTGTTCTAGTCAGCCCAGCTGTAAGTAAAGAAAGAGACCATACTAGACACTGTTGCGGTCATGCTACATGTAAGCTGAACTTTTCTGGGTAAGTTAGAAAGAAAAATGTATAAAATAAAAAGCCATCCTCCCAAAAATATCAAAAGGTTATGTTTTCCCTGAGCATGTAAAAGTTCGCTGAGATTTGTTCTCTGGGTTCAAAAGTACTTTGCATAAATCATTACAGTATCCACAGGGGATAGGTTTTTTTAAATAAATGCAAAGTAATAATGCATCTCTGACACTTGCAGATTATAACTAACTTATTTGTACACAGTACAAGGAAGTTTACTGAATAAACATAATCATACTTGTTTTTGTTGTGTTGTCATTGCTGACTGGTTTGGGTACGAGTCCTATCAAAGCTGCAGACTTCAGAGCGTTGCCATAGCTCACTGCTAAGTTTTCTGAAGCTTTCTTGGCCAGTGAAAAGATGGGAGCAGACCATCCCGATTCTTCAACAGCTTTTTCTTTCACCTCGTTTTTCAACTCAGTTACATTAGGAATCAGGTTTCTGTCAATTATTTCAAAATCTTCTTTCTGTTTCACAGCAGATGCATTGCAACTCTCTCCTTCAGCCATCTTTAAAATGTCATATGACACTAGTCATGAGCAATCGAGTTAAGCAGAAACTCCCTGCTCTGTAGGTGATAGGAGTTGTTTCATGACAAAAGTGCTGTGCGTGGTTACACAACAACCAGTCGCATGAGCAAAAGTGTCAGATACTAAACATCCTGATTGTGATATGCTCCAAATTATAGCCACAGCTAGTATATTTTCTGGTTACTGATTATCACAACAAATGATACTCTGTTAGATATTGTATAGTGAATGTCCTTTTATATTATTACAATTCTTATTTGTAGCTTTCTGAAAAACCCAATGCAGCCTCTGTACTTCTACACAATATTTTAAGTTAGCATTTTCCCAGAGTATATGAAGTCACAGATTTTGCAGCATTTAAAAAACACATTGAGTCTTTTGAGACTGGATTGTCTTTTCTAAAACGGGACCATCATAACCTAGAAAAGAGTATTGAAAGAAATTACTATATATTATGAAGAGTTTGTTTGTGGATTTGTTTGTGCAAAATAAAGTCATATCCCGATTACCTACAGATACCAAAATTTACATAAACAATCCTGCCACTGAAATGATCTGAATGCACTACTTTTTACACTGGAATATGATGGGTGAAAGGTTTAAATCAGTGTTATTCAAATGGCAAACCGCACCAATGGGGGTACGTCTGCACTGCAACACTATTTTGAAATAAATGGTGCTATTCTGAAATATCTTAGTCCGCGTCTACTCAGCAGGCAGTTATTTCAATAGTGTCAAAATACTGTCAAGCTTGAGGACTTTTTACTCTGACTCCTGTAACCCTCATTGTATGAGGAATAAGGGAAGTCATTAGAAAAGTACTCAAGTTAAGCCTTGCAGTGTAGACATACTCTGGGAGCCGTGAGGCTCTGTAGCTGTGGAGCTAATAAATACACAAACTGGAGCAGCCTGGTATCAGCTTTCTCAGAGTGGGTTCACAGACCACTTTGAGAAACACTGGTTTAAATAGTAATTTTTGGTTTTCATTGGAAAAAAGTCATGACTATTATTATTAGAGTCTATAAAAAATATTTGCTAACAAAATTAAAATCGAGTCGCCTATTCAACTGTCATTTTAGTGCAAAGAAAATTTTTATTGTTACAAATCACAACATAATTCAGATTAGTTATGGAAAGAGTAATGGAAGCTGTATAAGTTTCTGATTCAAATTTACTATGTGTAGTGATTATTCAAGAAAATGAATAATGTTTGAAGTTGAAATCCTACAAATTCAAAACTATTATGTTACTTCCCTTTTGTAAGTACATTAATAAAAAAATCTATTACATATATTTAATTTCTTGAACTTCCTGTAAGTGTAATCTACGCAAAAACGCACCTGGTCAATGTTGGGCCTCACCTTAAGTTTCTTATATATTTTTGAAAGTGAAGTATGCTTCCCTGCAGCATCTACACTACAAAAATAGCCATATTTAAGCAGAGTTGGGAAACATGGCTGCAGCTTAGCCACGATACAACTAGAGATATTAAAAAGTAGGTAATCAGGTACCGTATATTATACTGCTGATACAGAGGCAGCAGTGCGGGGCAGCAGCTGGTGAACGCTGGAAGGTGGCTTAAAAGCATGTACCAGCTCCCAGCTTCCATCCCACTCCCAGAGAGCTGGTTGCTACCCTGCACTGAAGGCTCTAATATAGAGCCAGCTGTGCAGGGTGGCAGCTGGCTTCCTGGGAGCCAAAACTTTATTGGTTAACCGAGTAAACAGTTATCCTATTACATCCCTAGTTACAACATGTCTGTGTGGACAGAAAGGACATATTATAATGATTTTGAGGCAATCAACAAACCTGATCCTGATTAGAAAAATGTGACCTCGCAAATTATCTATTTAGACTAAAACACAGTGCCTTAATATGTCCGTAACATGCAGTTTTCTGTCCAGCAGCAACTATATAACACAGCTGGACTACAGCTTGTTTAAACTTGTCTTAATTATGGTTGATTTCCCTCCCCTGATTCTATACGGTTATTTTTGTTGGATAGTCCTAGGAAATATTTTGTTTGGTGGAAGCTAAAGGACAGGGACAGGTAGGTAATTGGGGACCTCTTGTTACCAACAAACTTGGTAACAAAAGAAATACATCTTTAGGCTAGAACAAGTCCCTTATCTTTTGTTTATTTATTTATTTTTGTTTCTACTTTAAAGTTTTTTATTTGATGCAAAAGAGAGGTGCCAAGCTATAAGGAGAGTTATAGAAGTTTCATTGGGGTGTGTTTACACAGCAGGGCTTATCTCGAAATAAGCTACGCAAATTGAGCTTATTTTGAAATAGCAAAACTTTGTAGCTTATTTTGAAATAGCTTATTTCAAAATTGGGAGCATCTACATAGCACTTATTTTGAAATACAGCACTCTTCCTTTGACTTCCCTTACTCCTCAGACAATGAGGGTTACAGGAGTTAGAATAAGAAGTCCTCCATCTATTTTGACATTATTTCAAAATAACTGCCTGCTGTGTAGATGTGGACCAAGCTATTTCGAAATAAAGCCAGTTATTTCGAACTAGTGTTGCTGTGTAGATGTATCCTTAGTAAGCACAGCATATTTAATAGATAATGGTTAGACAAGACTGATAACAGTGGGGGGAAAGGAAAGAAGCTAGTCATCATGTCCTGTTGTGAAGTAGAGAGTCTTTTTGATCTGGTTAACTTTTGTAAATTAGAAAGATTGGGGCCAGACTGAGGCCCTTTTGTCCCAGGGAAATCTGCTAGAGGGATCTGAGGGAAGGAGTCTGACCATTTCTGTTCTGACCATTACTGATACTATTGAGGCATGCTGGTGAGTGGATGGCCTGTGGTATTGGTGAAACAATGTAACTTCTCCTTCCAGGGCCCATCCTCTGCACCAGTTTTTCTCAACCAGTGGTACGAGTACCCTCAGGGATACTCAAGAGAAGTCTGGGAGGTACATCAACACAACTGAAATTTAGAGAAAACTGAATTTTTGTTTTAAGTTTTACAGTGCTTTATTATTTTTGTACTTTTTACACCCAAAAACTTCATTGCCCGCCCAGCTACGATTAAGTTGTTTAAACAAATGTGTTGCAATGGTAGAAAAAAAATATGTGGGTCTGAAAACTGTAGGTACTGGGGGTACTTATAACTTTTTTTAAGGGAGTACTTATGAATTTTTTTTTGAAAAAGGAGTACTTTATAAAAAAAGGGTTGAGAAATACTGCTCTGCACAATGCTTCTGAGAATGGTGAGTGTGGTGCCAGGGTGGTGGATGAACCAACCCTCTCATAAAGGGAAGGAGAGAGATGTGTATATGTAGATGTATGGAACGCAGTCTGGTCCCAAATATGTGTCTTCCTAACATTTTTTATATAAACTACTGTTCTGCTCTCAGGTACTGTAAAAATGTAAAATTCCACAATTAACTTATTTTCCACAAAACAAATCGCAACTCCTAAGTGTCTGTGAAGGATAAGAGAACCTCTGAACTGAAGTCTGAAGTCCATTATTCACCCAGGATTTATTCAGACTATAGGCTCATTGTTCAGCAGCAGGGTTACAACCATATGTTTTGCACTCCATCTAGTGGGATGAAATGGTATTTGGCACAGTGTCCATGTGTTTGTTTTTTATGGAAAGTAGGACAAAGGACATTTGTTTTGCAATAGTTGTATAAGCCCTAGTCCTGCAATTGACAGTATGGTCAGGGCCTCATAGATTTCATTTTGGGCTCCCCATTAGGTGCAGAGGTCATGTTCTGAGTCAGTTAACAGGAGCAGAACCCCATAGGACTAAGGAAGTCAAACAAGTGTGATATTTCCAAAGACCTTTGATTATATGTCCTCTCAACTGAACTATATGTAAATAAAACTAAATAGATTTCTACTTTCAATAAAGTGGAAGCAGAACAGGGAGGTGGAGGGGAAATAGAAGGCAGAGATTCCTTCCCTTCCTCCTCATTTGCTGTTTCCAACAACTAATGTGTCTGGCAGACACAGATTAATATTACAGTACATACATTCAGTAGCAAAAATATTAACTGGAAGTAAGACACAAACAACAAAAGAATATATGTCCCCTTAAAATAAGAGAAAATGAAAAACTCAAAAAGAAACATGAAAGAGTACAGTGAGATAATAGCAGAACATTTTATTTCAATCTTCCATCATTTGAGCTCAGAAAAGAGCTATTTTACCATGTCCAAGACTACTAACATTCATCCTGCATAGTTTTATATTTTTAAAGTAATGAATAGAACCCAGTTATCTGTATAGCAAAAGTGAATTTAAAGTTAATAAGTCAACTATGGAAATAGCATTAAACAATTCCCCGTTTTTTGGAGGCCAGAGTCCTTTTGGGGCATGTCTACACAGCAGGGCTAAAGCTAAAATTGCGTAGCTTAAGTCAAAATAGCTTATTTCGGCTTTTGATGCTGTCTATGCATCAGGAAGTCAGAGCAAGAGCACTCTTCCTCCAACTTCCCTTACTCCTCATAAAATGAAGGTTATAGGAGTCAGAAAAAGAAGTTCTCCAGCTCAACATTATTTTGATATTATGTTGAAATAACTGCTTGTAGTGTAGATATGGATTATGTTATTTTGGAATAATGTCAGTTATTCTAAAATAACACTGCTGTGTAGACGTAACCGTAATGATATAAGCAACCTGAAATGCTAGGAGTGTTCTAGTTAAGTTCAAATTCCCGTGGAAATTTGAAAGCAACTCAGCATGTTTTAGTGTGGTCAGGCTTTAGCAGAATTGCTGGTATATCACATACTCAGAATAAATTACTATTTGTTTCATATAGCAGGTTGTTACAGTTTATTTTGTTTCAAACCTTTGTTTAATAGCAGGGGCATTAAACCTGGGCTGTGCTTCCGCTGAAAGTTCCCTTTGTTGATACAGATCCCAAAGAGAGTGCAGCGCTTCTGCATGGTCCCCTTCTGCTGTTACATTTTATTTCAGTATTCACCTCTGCCACAGATTGTTAGTGCAGCTCTTACTCTCT